TTATTTTTTTATAAAAATTATATATCATATATATAGTATATAATGTAAATTAGGGAATAGGGATTAGGTTTGAGAAAAGAGAAATTTCTGTCCCTTTGCATCTCGCTCTCGCACAGCCACAACCGCACCATCCCTACTCACTCCATCACTCGTCGCCTCTCTCTCACAGTCGCTATCTCCGGCGGTCCGGCGTCTTAAGCCTCTCGACACAGTACACACTCGCGAAGTCCGACAAAGCCTCTTCTTCGCGCCTCGACCGCTCGACGCCTCACCTCCGAAGTCCGACCCAAAAGCTCCGGCCGCTCCTCGCCTTGCCTCTAAGACCCGCCTCACCTCCGAGGCTCCGACATAAAGGTTCGACGCCCCGCCTCCGACTCGACTCCAATTTCAGATTTAAAAAAAAAAAAATGTTCAATGCTATCGTGTATTAGTATGTAATTAGATGTTAAGAACTTAAGATGTTGAAATTGAAATATATTTCTTGTGATTTGAATTGCTGTGGAATTTGGTATGACTGGGAGTTAGGATGGATTTATGTTTAGGAATTAGGATAAATTGCTGTGTTGTTATCTTGAGTTAGGATGGATTTGGTATGGCTTAAAAGGAAGATGAATTGCTGTGCTGTGCATATGTAACTTTTCAGTTGTTTTTTTTTTCTTTTTCTTTTTCTGTTGTGAAGCAGCAATCTGCTGCAACTGTGTTGCTAAATTGCAACAATGGAGCGAAAAACATAGGTCAAGGCGGGTCGAACCGGGTCAGGCACGGGCCACAGGTCAGGTCGGGTCGACCTGCCCCGAAACGGGTGCACGGGTCCGATCTGTTGGACCCGTCACGGGTCACGGGCCAGGTCGGGTCCACAGGGCAAAAACACGGGCCAGGTCTGGGTACGTAGGTACCCGGCCCGACCTGGCCCATTGCCATCCCTATTGAGGATGTGGTTACTTCATGCGAAACTTGTTTAGTAAATGAGCAGTAGCTTTGTGACACTCTTAGAAAGGCCAGGATATTGCATTTCCCATAATTTGCAAAACAGAGTATCGTTTTGAGTTCCCTGTGGTTTTTATTGAATTTCGGTTTTTTCGGTAAGAAACCGTTACCGAACCGAGTTTTCAGTAACCGAATTTCAATCGGTTCGGCAACGGTTTCATATTTTGTTGTTACCGAAATAACCTTCGGTATCGGTTTGGTCTTATCGATACCAACCCTATTATTATGTTCATGTACTGGTTCACTTCAGTTTTTGGGTAATAATCTCATTTGGTAGGATTTACTATACATTGCCAAAGATGTCAGCTGGTAATGAATGATATTTTAATAACAAAAAAGAATCTGCAAATCTGAATAAGAAACAGATTGTTCAACCTTCTGCCGAGTTTAACAGACATTCTCTTAACTTTTCTCACGCATGGAGTAGTTTGCATCTTTAAACCTTCTCAAATCGAAGTACCATGGCAGCCATTTAAAGCCTCTACATCATCAACAAATCAGGCGGCCTCATTTTTTATAAGGTAGACCTTGCTATAACTAGATTTTGTTTTTCGAATCTTCCCAGTTTGCTCTATATGAGTGTTATTTTTAGGGAACAGAACTTTAAAAGTAGAATATTTTGTGTTGTCCAGGATTATGGTTCGGCCGGAAGGATGGATACAAATGATGGTTTGAGACTTGCGAGCTTATGGCACTCTATGCACGCCATCTCTCAGCAGCTTTCGCCCATTTCCTGGTGCTCTGGAATCGAGCTGCTTCAGGCTGATACTTTCGATCTTCACTGCTTTCAGTCTCTCACAGGTGGGATTTTTATTCTTCTTGTTTTTATCTTTTCAAATTCTTGTTACATGAAATATTTCGGAGCTTCCTACGTTTGTGATGGAACTAACTACGTAGTATGTTTTATGCAACAAATGTTATTGGGTTTGAGTTGAATCCAATGTTTTTCATGATCTACACTTCATTCTGATCGTTATTTTGATAAAACTGATTCTTTTGGGCTTTATGGTGAATGTTAGGATGGAAAATTATTCTCTCTCTCTCTCTCTCTCCCTCCCTCTTTTTTTTACACGTGTACGTTTTTTTCTCTTGCCATTGGTTCTCTGGGTTTCATCTCTAGCCTACCCCAACGTGCTTGGGATTAAAAGGCTATGTTGTTGTTGTTGTTTGTTGTTTGTGTACGTTTTTGCTTAGAATTCAAGATTGAATTGGACAGGTTGCGCAAGGGAAAAGTCTTGCCATGCTCAGCCTGATTAGTGTTTGTCGGACCAAAAATTATATAATCCAGTAACTTCCATAACATGAAAATCATTGAGCAAGTTGTTGCGAAATACATCATGTCTAATCCTTTGGGGTAGACTACCGGGCTCAACATGTGCGGGTTTTAATGATAATGATTTAAGCTTTTACTTTGAGTTTTTATCTTCTGCAACCAAAGTGGTGTGGAAAGTTCTTTTAGGATAACGTCTATACTAATTCAGGTTCTTTTACTATAATGATTTAAGCTTCCCTTTTTTGGACTAGCGATTGATTTAGCTGAACTTCCTGTCTCAGCTAAGAGTTGTGAAGCCTTTTGTCTATGATTTAACCAGTTTCAGATCCCCAACGAAATAACCAAAAGATTTTAACTAAACTGTTTTTGTCGTAGGTACAAAGTTCTTTGTGGTCTGTGAGCCTGGAACTCTGCACATGGAAGCTCTGTTGAAGCATATATACGAGTTGTACACTGATTATGTTCTGAAGAACCCATTCTATGAGATGGAGATGCCTATCCGGTGTGAGCTGTTTGACATTAATTTGGCTCAAGCTGTGCAAAAAGACCGTGTTTCTCTATTGGGCAGATGATTTTCGTGGCCCATCACTACCTGAGTATGAACGATTTCATTTTCCATACTGAAATTTGTTTCTCTCGAATTCGAACATAATGGCAGAAGGTTTGGATGATGCTTTGGGTGGGACATACTTTGTGCTGTCAATATCTTGTTAGTTAACGATTGCCTTTTTTCGGGCTATTCAGCCTTGTCTTCCATGTACACTCAGTCTCCTTACTTTGAACTTGTTAAAGAATTTTTTTCATTTGATCTCTGAGGATCAACAACCATGATTTTGGTTGCATAAAGTAACTCTGCAGTGGATTTGGGAGAGAGAAGTAATAAGTAAGTAAAGTTGATTAGTGATTTCAGAAAAGGAAGTGAAAATTGATTCTGTAAATGAATAAAGTGCACCTTACATGAAAAAATATGTATATCTTCAAATTTCACAGGAAATTCGAAAGCTGCGTGTATACATCACCTTGTCCCCCCTTTTTCACGAGTCTCACCAATCTTGAACACACGGCGCAATAGTAGTTTAAATTCTGAAATACTTTAAAATCCTTATTTATACAGCTTGATAGCCCAATTATCACCTTGTCACCCCTTTTTGCAATAAAAATTGACGCATACAATTGTGATATGAAAGAGGATACTATCTGTAATATTTGAAATATGTGAACGTGTGTGTAATATTTTTACAAAATAGGCAAATTCTATCATTTTAACACCATAAATGTATTTTCGTTCAAGCAGTAAGATGGTTCGACCTCACTTCATTAACATTTTCATGATTTTAAAGAACACACATGGTAATTGGAAGGCAACAATGGTCGCTTGATGTTTTCAGAATTTCATGGTAAGGAAACAGAAGTTTCCCTCACAACAATACGAAAGGAGAAAAGCAAAGCAGATCCTTGAGTCGTCTTGCAACTAGAAATGAGCACAATAATATTGCCATCTCTGCCGAAAGGTAAAAATTATATAACAGCAATTTCAAAAGATTTTCCAAAACAGACGTACACCTTCCAAGTATTACGACTCCTTTTGAGAGGAAAACTTCATCTAATATTTCCTAACTTCTGCTGCAGTATATCAATGATGCAAGAACACACAAGTAACTCCACTTTTCACAACATAATTGACCAATAATGAGACACCGTCATTCTGGAGATGAATACATATATGTATTATGTGCTCTTTTCCCTTGCATCTAATCGTGTATCAGATTTAAACAACACTAAAAGCTGACTGAATGGTCGACGATACACGAGAAGCAATTGTTTGTGTGGCAAATGCTTGAAGTTGCTTCTTAGCATCTGTAACAAAGACCAAAGATTATTCCTCAAGGGGGAAAAGAAAAGGGAACAATATCAATGCCCAAATGATTATGATTCATTTCTTTCTAAGTTGAATTAAAAGAAAAATGAATGGTTTTATCAACACAAAAGGCATAATAATTCCAAACCAGTGCTCATACAAGTAAAATAAATAAATAAATTAATAAATAATATCACCATCGCTGATCGGAAAATATGAATGAGAAAACTTATATAGCATCTGTACATAGATTTGATATATTAGCAACATATATAAGGTAGATAACAACACATATGATTGATCCAGGGAGGAAAATGTAACTTCACTTCTTAGGAACCTTCACTACAACTTAAGGTTGTTAGTGCCAGGTATCTCTATTCGTTAAAATGATTGACCAATTTGAAAAATGCACAAAACTTACTAAGCAGTCATAAATAGACGTTTACTAAAGCATTCTTTCGCTGCCAGTAAAATTTTGAAGGTCCACGGATCTTATGCCTTACCACAATTTTAATGATAAATATATGCAAACACGCTAGCAAGTTATCCATAATCCAGAAAAAGCATGTTCAACAGTTCTGTAAAAAAAGTATAAAGCTCTTAAATCTAACTTTTATTGGAAAATTTGTAACTGCAAGCAAGGAATGCTCTAAAGTTCTCCTACAACCATTAACATTCCTTTTTTTAATTCAAATATTATCAAAAAAATCGAAGGAAAATCTAACACTTGAAAAAAGAGATCAGTCAGACCGTTTACCTTTGCGGCATCGAGTAAAGCCAATGATATTTGCGATGCTAAGGGTCAAGCATACATCAACAACAAGAAGATAATCAGCTTGAAATCTAATCAGAGAGAAAATAGCAAAAAAGATCCACGCGACGGCCTGCAGAGGACAGAGAGACAAGGCTAATATTTAAAGGTGATAAGATATTCAATAACACAAACTTAAAAATTGTTTTAGATATTTCCTTCTTTCTTTTCTTGGACATTCTTATAATGCGCATTTCAATAATCCTATTCTCATGTATTGATCACATGGTTATCTATTTCTTCTACTTTAACTAAATATAAGATATATGTAGCCTATAATGTAGCTAAATCCACAATTCTTACTGTAAGGTATAAGGTCCACCAGAAAAGCCATGAATCCTTCTTGTTCATTCGAGCCATAGACTGAACATGGAAAAATGGGGTTACATGATTAGAAATCAAGTAGACAGACAATCGACAAACATATGAAACAAGAATATCCTTACCTCTTGGTCAAGGCATTCGAATTTCCACACACTTTCACCATTATCATTAATCTCATTCCACCACCTAAGGCCCACCAAGATACGACCACTTACATTCTTGACAACCCAAAAGTCGAGTGCAGCAAGAAGTACAGTGACCACAAATATGATCACAAAACTATCCACAAAATAGAGCTGAAAGAATATAAAATGCCAAGGCAGCACCCTGATAAAAGAAAACGTTTTCATGAATCAAGATGTTAAAACACTAAAAAAAACAAAGGCAACTACAAAAAAAAAACATGATTGAAAAGTCAGATAGAAATAAAATTTAATTACCTTAAAAAGCACGTGAAAGAAGCATATCTGAGGATGAGCATAATTCTCTCCAGAAGGCTGCAAACATAAAGAAATAGTCTGAAATTTGTTTCATAATTGAACTTTTTCTTCTTTTTTTCCTTCTCATTGGTGCCATAAGGAGAAATTGAGAATGCAGACCATATTCATCTCTAGTTATTGGAATTATGCCTATTAAATCAGAAAATTTATCATAACCAACATTGGAAGGATCTGTTTAGAGTGTGTTGTAACTCCTTGTTTCTTTATTATCTAATCTCGCAACTATAAAACTGACATCTCCGCTAAATACAACACATGCCTTAAATCAATCTAGTGATGCAATATAACATAGTAGATATTTCAAATGGTCCGCCATAAATATTAGAAGTCCATAAACTAAAAAAGGAGACAACATGAACTGAACATAAGATGACCAATGGACAAAGAACTGAAACGGAATAGGGATTTGCAAACAACTTCCAAAAGAGATTAGGAAACAGAATGGACCATGATCAAAAGGAGTTGGTTCAGTTACTGCCATAGTATAATGTCAACAGTTAAAACCAAAATATAACGCGGCAATAACAGCTCACTATCCAGATATTTGCGTCTTTCCCAACCTGACTCAGGCATGAGGTTAATTATCCAGAGAAAAATAAAACCAGAGAAAAGGAACTAAACCCTATTCAACTAGTTATACAGCACAATGGGGAGGTTGAAAGATGTCAGTATAGTGCTAAAGACACCTCTCAACTACATAAATTATGTTCCACCTCATAAAAGCCCAAACATTATAAAGTATATCATGTGGAGCAGGATCAATCAACAGATTTTGGACTGATTACAACAAAGACGAGAAATCAAAGTTATGTCACATCCTCATTAAGATTTAAGAATATTATCAGGTCCACACCTAGACCTATTTGAACAAAACCCATATTGCCACTAGACCGGGCCTTGAATATTCATCAATATTACAAAAGGATTCAACGTGATGATGAATGCTACACGATTTGCTAAATTGCATCATATGAAGGAACAATTATCAGATAATAATCCTATAAGTGACAAAATCTTGGAAAAAAAATTGATCTCAACAATGGTGGAGAAGAGAACTTACTGGATGCAGATCCATTTTGCGATATTCGGAGTTCCTCTCAACAATGGAGGAGATGCTCTAATTCTAAGGAGACAGTTGTGCAGTGTGTGTGTGTATGTGTGTGTGTGTGTGTGTGTGTGTGTGTGTGTGGTGGAGAAGAGAACTTACTGGATGCAGATCCATGGTTGGACGGGGATGGGTGATTTTATGTGTGTGTGTGTATGTGCAGTGTGTGTGTGTTGTGCGTGAAAGAGAGTGAGTGGTGAGTTGGGAATTGGGTAGGGTGAGTTGATTTTGGGTGGGCTTGCGGTTGGTTTGACAAGAAAATTATCACACTGCCTGGAATGTACTTAAATTTTGGGTTTTTTTCAAGTGTTGGATATCTGATATGATTATTAAGATTTATTTTTATTTCTTTCACTTAACACAATTTTCATTGTAGCCCGACTCTCTCTCTCGTTATATATATATATATATATATATATATATAAAAGTGAAAATCGAGTAAATGAGGTATTAAAATTGATTAATAGAAATAAGTACAAAAGTGAAAATTTAGTAGAGTTTGGATACCAAAACCAAATTGTAATTGATTATATGGCGTACAAAGGTTAAAATTGAGTGATGTTTGTATACCAAATCAAAATTGTTCGATAACTAAAACATGGACTTGGGGGAGAGAAAACGTTTCTTCAAGGGGTCTTTAAAGCATTTGACTAAACTATTTACAGAGAGATCGTGAAAAAGTATGGCTGACCATCACTGAGAACAAAAAGTAGGAGTGGATTAGTACGAGTTATTGGACGGGAGAATAAACAGCTTCAGAATTGAAGAAGTTCGAGAATTTGAAAAATGTTGCAGTGCATATTTCTCCTATCAGATTCAGGGTGCGATCTCAAACCTTTCATATTCTCTTCAGGATTATTTTCTCGTTACGAAAAAATATTAATATACAATCTTGACATCTTCTGATTATGGGTTCTTGCGTATAAGGTGGAAACTGAGAAGGACACTAATAGTTGTTGCTAACGGATTAATGTAGAGGCAATTGAGCTCCCTTGTTTACTTCGTCCTGTGGATGTTTTTCCTTAAACGATTGTTAATTAATTATGTAAAAGTAGATCTTAGATAGCTTTTAAATTATCACTTGCAGCTGTGAAGGAGATCGCTGATTGTATAGTTTCGCTGCTGTATCTGCTTGCCTGATGGAAAAAAGACAATCTTGGGATTTTATGCTTCAAAATGGGGTTGATATTTGAGGAGTGCTTACTAAAACTAAGAACAAATGCTTTGGTACCTTTTTACATGGAAAATTGAGTAGATATTCCACCTAGAATTTCGAATGGGAGACACTTTATTTTTTAATTATATATATATATATACATATATTTGGTTTGTTTTGCAAACACTCCTCTCCCTGTGGAAGTTTGAGGAAGAAATTATAATTATAGTCGGTAAATTCATCGGAAAGAATGATGAAGTAGGTGAATTATATGCCTTATTGTGAAATTTTAGGGAAGTGATGTTGGAAAAACAGCTCACGGGTCACCGGGTCGATCGCTCCATATGTGCATGGTTCTGGGACCAAGTACATACTCAAGGAGATTCTTTGAAGGTATCGAGTTTGTATTTATTTTTTTATTTTTTTTGTATAAACTTTGCATGTTGCAACGCACTGCTCCATGCATTCCGTCTTTTTTATGTTTCTTATAGACCGTTTCTAAGAGTGAACCCTTTTTCTTTTTCTCTTGCATTGTCATAGAGCGTGCCTGTTATTGCTTCACCGACCCACTATCTGTTCCAAGTGATCCGTGAGGGAATAACGTTTTTGGCTTGCACCCAAGTTGAGATGCCACCTTTAATGGCTATTGAGGTGTGTGCCCTAAGCTGTGGTTCTCATTGACAATTCCAGTAATTTCTGTATGTGTTATCATGTAAATCTCTTTCCAGACTTGGATTTTTTTTCTTATTTTTTATTTTTCTGAGTCTGTTACCACTCTGAAATTAAATAGAGTGGCATGGTAACATTGTGAGTATCATTCTGAATAACTTTGGTGCTGTTTCTTAGCTTTTCAAGAATTTGCAAGGTGGCACTAGATTATACATACACAAATGTGGTCTTGTGCAGAAAGTCTTGTTAAACACTTGACGGTTTGATTTCTAGTTTCTTTGCAGGGTAGCTGATGTTCTTACAGATTATTTGGATGGCCTGAATGAGGATCTGATGAAGGATAATTTTGTTACCGTTTACGAGGTATCAATGATGTTTTGTTCGTTGTGAAGTCTGATGTTAGACTTTGGTTAATTACATGGTTAATTTCCTTTCACATACTATTTTATTCTTTCCTGAAGTAATTGTTCGGCTTGTCTTGTATCATTCTCATAAAATCTGTTATGAATCAATAACAGGGAATATTCTTTTCATTAATTTAATATTGCTGAACTTAAACCCTCACTTTATGATGCATTGTTTTTTTTTTTTCTTCCATATCTACTAAAGGGAATTTAATACCTCAAGTGCTTATCGACATTATATCATAATTCTTTATGCAAATAATTTAATAACTAGGCAATTGGAGCATTGGCCTATAAAATAAAATAGACAGTTGATTTTCAGTTTCGAAATGAATTAGCCTGTGTTCATATCTCAACTGTGTATCATCGTGATATTTCAATTGAATTCTTCTGAGCCATTCTGTAATTCTAACTCTAGAAGAATCTTATTTTAAATATGCAGTTGCTGGATTAGATGATAGACAATGGCTTCCCTCTAACAACGGAACCTAGTATATTAAGGGAAATGATAGCTCCTCCTAATATTGTTAGTAAGGTTTTGAGTGTTGTCACTGGTAATTCATCCAATGTGAGCAATACTCTTCCAGGTGCCACATCATCATGTGTTCCATGGAGAAAGACTGACCTTAAGCACTCAAGCAATGATGTTTATGTCGATCTTGTCGAAGAAATGTATGCTACTATAAACAGGTACACATATTTCTTTCACAAAGCTCTTAATTTCCACTATTTTCAGTAGATTAAAGAATTCAATTCCTTATAAATTAGAAGCAATATTTCTAACCATAGTTAGAATCGGATTCATATGATTGAAAAATGCATTATGGTTTGAAACAAACAATAACAGCTGCTGCTGGCAACCTGTAATTTTTTAAATTTTTTAATTCTGACAAATAAAATCATTTTCAACATATCAGTGATTAATTTTATAGTACTCTGATGCATTAGACGAGCAGCTTGTGTCATAGTACTAATTACACGGTTTCTCTTCTGAAGCTACTAAATCATTTTAATTTTCTCTGATGCTTAGAGATGGGGCTCTGGTAAAATGCGAGATATATGGTGAAGTTCAAGTAAATTCTCACCTATCAGGTCTACCCGATCTCACACTATCGTTCGCCAATCCTTCAGCTCTTAATGACGTGAGGTTTCACCCTTGTGTTCGACTTCGACCTTGGGAGTCAAATCAGATCTTATCTTTTGTGCCGTCTGATGGGCAATTTAAGCTCATGAGTTACAGGTATTCTATTTTTCAGGGCAGAAAAAGATAATCATATTGTTTCTTGTTAACTCTTGCCCTTGTTTTGTCAGAGTGAAAAAGCTGAAGAATATTCCGATTTATGTGAAGCCGCAACTGACGTCCGACTCAGGGATTTGCCGTATAAGCATATTGGTGGGAATACGAAATGATCCTGGAAAGTCAATTGACACTATAACAGTTCAATTCCAACTACCGCCTTCTGTTGTGTCGTCTGATCTTTCTTCTAATTGTGGACCAGTAAATGTTCTTGCTGATAAGGTATGGACTTGTAAGCAAACATTTAGTTCGACTTGAGTCTTGCGTTAATATTTTCCAGGAAGACTATATAATGCTTTATTTGAAATTATTTGGGTACTAAAAATTCATGAAGGCCATCACTCTTGTGCATATTATTATCTATTCTTCTTTGCTCTTTATGCTCTTTATGATAGATTTTAGCTGATTTTTGGCAGACATGTTTGTGGACGATTGGGAAAATCCCAAAAGATAAAGCTCCTTCAATGTCTGGAACCTTGGTGCTTGAGAGTGGCATGGAGAAACTTCATGTATTTCCCACTTTTATTGTGGGTTTTAGAATTATGGGTGTGGCCCTATCCGGCTTAAAAATCGAAAAATTGGATATACTGAATTTGCCCACATGTTCATATAAAGGCTTTCGAGCTCTCACTAGAGCTGGTGAATTTCAAGTGAGATCATGAGCTTTTGTGTTAAAGAAGGCGAATATGCATTGAGGACATAACTATTTTGTTTTGAGATTGGTGTTTTGCCTTGTTGATGTTGTGTATTTATCGTAGTGCGTTGGAACAGTACGTTTTGATGCGTTTGAATTTGTGCTTTCCTGCTGCATTTGAATTTGTTCTTTAACTCTCTTCTGTAACTGTGGACAAGAAGTAAATGTAATTTTGAATGAGACATTTGAAGGAAATGGAGTGATTTGCTGCTCGTCTTGATTTTCACTTGTAAAGTTGTAACATATAATTTTCTCTAAACACCGAAAACAAATGATGGGCAATGGATAAATGCATTACAAATGTAACCCCAACTCAACACCGAAAACAAATGAGCCTATATGCATGTCGAAAATAAACTGTAGTGCACATAAAAAGCATGTATGCGACTGCAATGGATAAATGCACTTGACCACAAATTCAACTCAATACGATTTTGTCTGGCCACTATAAAATATAACGCAAGCAAGGCTGCATAAGTCCATTGCAGGACCTAATTATTACAAGAAGGCTACAGCAAACAAATAAAATACCTATGCCGAACTCTCTTAACTTCTGGTTTAGCACAACAATGTCAGATTCACCTGAGGACTCTGTTAGAACTCAAGATAAAATTTTCTTCACCAGCTACAGTCGAACTCAGCCTCCCAGCAGCCCATCCATTGTTCAGTACCCGAGCACTAGTAGCTGGGCTATGATCACCCGCTTCACGGCCCTTTATCTCTTTTCTCAATTTCCTCTCCTCGTCTCTCTCTTTCCTCAACCAACTCTCCACATTTCTCTACAAATAGAAAAAAGGTTTTGACACTTGTGAATTCCCTTTACAGCATTAATATATTCTTTGATGAGCCAATTAATAGAGGAACTGACCATAAGTGACAAATTGCTTATCTCCTTGATTTTATTCATAGGCATTGCTAGTTGCAATTTCCCGCGAGCCACATAAACCTGACAAAAAGAAAATAAAAAAATCAATGCATGTGATGACAAATAGTTGTAGCAATTTATGAGGTGTGCACTACAAAGTTTAAGAGTCGCACTCACAATATGAGATGGCCAATCCTCGAGCCCATCAAATATATGGGTGGCATAAATAATGGTAGAACCTCGTTCTAAGCATTCCTTCTTAAGAAACTTTAGGAGGTCTGCTCTGGCAAGCACATCTAAGTCAACAGTGATCTCGTCAAGCAGGAGGACCTGGGGACAACAGGCATAACAATGTCAATACAATTAAATAAATGACCATCATGAAAGAAAACTCGATTGTTAATAACAGAGAAACTCACTTTGAATGGCTTTAGAAGACCCATACAGATTTGGACTCGCCTTCTTTGGCCATCAGATACTTTGTGCATTCTCCAGGAGAGGTCAATGCCTAAAACCTGCAATTTTGGAAGAATATAATATTTCTGAGGTAAATGTACACAAGCTTTGCCCATTTAGAAATGACCTACTGAATAAAGCGAGTTTGTCTAGAGAAGGATGTAAATATATATGGTATGTTTTCTGTTCATTGTCATATATGATTACATATTTAATTAACTCGAGCACGACAAGATACCACTGTTCCATGTTCTATCGACAGCTGCTGAAACAAACTGACATTTGCTAGGTTTTATTGCTCAACCTAGGTTGATTCAGATTGGCAGACACATAAGAATTTGATCTGGTCAATCAAACCAATTTGAAAGGTCACATATGTTTGGAGTATTCTCCATCAGTCAACGGAACTGTATCCTATTTTACTAGAGCAAGATGCAACATTTTGGGAAAAGAAAACAACCCTGAAGGGAAAAATGCCAATAAGATCCAAGCTAAAAAAACTACCTTAATTAGTTCATCTCTCCTTTGGGGATTGATACCTGCTACTCCAAATATCATTTTCTCAGCAGAAACGTCCATCTGAATTGGAACCTCAAAACCAGCAAAAGCAACTTCACGCCTCCACTGCAAATAAACAAGTTTTCACACAAGACTTTGAGGTACAAATTGCACACAGTAGAGGAATTCCCCTTGCACAGAGAATGTTCATCGCGTAGCTAATTTTACAGCATACGGTTAAGCCAGCTAGCATTGAGATGTGATGAGCAAGATAGTACTTCTAGTTGAATTTACAAACCTCAAATTCCATCTTCACAGTTCAGCAATTATAGCACATTTACGTCAAAATACCAAGAAAAATTCCCTTATTACACTAACAACAACCATGAACACATCAACATTTCAACATTAATAAAGAGAACTGCCAAAATGTACCTCACCACCAAGATAAGCAAGATCACCAGAGGCAGTCAAGGCGGTGTCGTGAAAAGCGGATCGCCCCATGACCCTTACCATATCTTGCTCAACCATGTGCTTTCCCCCAATTATTTTCAAAATTGTTGTTTTACCTGATTAAATTCCACATCAATCTCAGCCACACCACATGAAAGGAAAACACTGATAAACCCATGAGAGAGAGAGAAAAAAAAAATTACCAGCGCCATTGGAACCGACAAGGAGGCAGCAATCGCCGGGGAAGAGTGTGAGGGAGAAATCATCGATCAAAGGAGTGGAACCCGGCGGAGGATGACCGTCGATTCCAGGGTAGGTGAATCTGAGCTTTTTGATCTCGAGTGTTGGTTGAGGGATGTCATGCCCTGCCATTACTGCGACTATCAGTTTTCCTTCTTCTTGGCAGTTAGATCGAAATATAGAGTGGTGATTTATGGGAAGGTCTTCGTATTGTGAATGGGAGAGTTTGGTAGCGGCAATGGCGATGGCTTTCTCTGTCTGAGACGTGGCCATAGTTACGACACTACCTCAGAATTAAAAGCTCGACCTTTTAACAAGGCAGCTGCTGAAAGTTGAAAAAAAAAATACACGTTATGTGGGTTGTGAAATTAATAACTACATGGAACGAATAATAAATAACTTTTGTAATTTTGAAGGATCAGTGGATCACCATCAATTAATTAACTAAAAAATATTAAATTTACTTTAACAAATTGCTTATGCAATTTAAAATTTTTTTACTATGACATTAAAAAAATAATTTATTTAAAAAAAATCTCTTAATTAGAAAAAATAAAATAAAATAGTGATTTTAGAATAATCACTTAAACAAATGTTTTTGCAATGTAATCTTTTATGTTTATGTAACTGTCATATATCATTTAGTGGAAAATATAATAACAATTTAAAATAATTTAAATTATATAATTCAATGAAAAATATAATTATTACTTATATTAATGTAACGGTCCATAAGCCGAGCCATCCGACGGCTTCATAGCAAAACCGTTTGTCTTAATTAATAAAAAAAGTGTAAAATTTAATGGTACATAGGAAAAAGGGAAATGCTCACATGCCCACGGTAGGCACATGTTAATATGCCAACCGCTGATGTGGCATGCACTGTCGAAAATAAACTGTAGTGCACATAAAAAGCATGTATCGACTGCAATGGATAAATGCACTTGACCACAAATTCAACTCAATACGATTTTGTCTGGCCACTATAAAATATAACGCAAGCAAGGCTGCATAAGTCCATTGCAGGACCTAATTATTACAAGAAGGCTACAGCAAACAAATAAAATACCTATGCCGAACTCTCTTAACTTCTGGTTTAGCACAACAATGTCAGATTCACCTGAGGACTCTGTTAGAACTCAAGATAAAATTTTCTTCACCAGCTACAGTCGAACTCAGCCTCCCAGCAGCCCATCCATTGTTCAGTACCCGAGCACTAGTAGCTGGGCTATGATCACCCGCTTCACGGCCCTTCATCTCTTTTCTCAATTTCCTCTCCTCGTCTCTCTCTTTCCTCAACCAACTCTCCACATTTCTCTACAAATAGAAAAAAGGTTTTGACACTTGTGAATTCCCTTTACAGCATTAATATATTCTTTGATGAGCCAATTAATAGAGGAACTGACCATAAGTGACAAATTGCTTATCTCCTTGATTTTATTCATAGGCATTGCTAGTTGCAATTTCCCGCGAGCCACATAAACCTGACAAAAAAAAAATAAAAAAATCAATGCATGTGATGACAAATAGTTGTAGCAATTTATGAGGTGTGCACTACAAAGTTTAAGAGTCGCACTCACAATATGAGATGGCCAATCCTCGAGACCATCAATTATATGGGTGGCATAAATAATGGTAGAACCTCGTTCTAAGCATTCCTTCTTAAGAAACTTTAGGAGGTCTGCTCTGGCAAGCACATCTAAGTCAACAGTGATCTCGTGAAGCAGGAGGACCTGGGGACAACAGGCATAACAATGTCAATACAATTAAATAAATGACCATCATGAAAGAAAATGATTGTTAATAACAGAGAAACTCACTTTGAATGGCTTTAGAAGACCCATACAGATTTGGACTCGCCTTCTTTGGCCATCAGATACTTTGTGCATTCTCCAGGAGAGGTCAATGCCTAAACCCTGAAATTTTGGAAGAATATAATATTTCTGAGGTAAATGTACACAAGCTTTGCCCATTTAGAAATGACCTACTGAATAAAGCGAGTTTGTCTAGAGAAGGATGTAAATATATATGGTATGTTTTCTGTTCATTGTCATATATGATTACATATTTAATTAACTCGAGCACGACAAGATACCACTGTTCCATGTTCTATCGACAGCTGCTGAAACAAACTGACATTTGCTAGGTTTTATTGCTCAACCTAGGTTGATTCAGATTGGCAGACACATAAGAATTTGATCTGGTCAATCAAACCAATTTGAAAGGTCACATATGTTTGGAGTATTCTCCATCAGTCAACGGAACTGTATCCTATTTTACTAGAGCAAGATGCAACATTTTGGGAAAAGAAAACAACCCTGAAGGGAAAAATGCCAATAAGATCCAAGCTAAAAAAACTACCTTAATTAGTTCATCTCTCCTTTGGGGATTGATACCTGCTACTCCAAATATCATTTTCTCAGCAGAAACGTCCATCTGAATTGGAACCTCAAAACCAGCAAAAGCAACTTCACGCCTCCACTGCAAATAAACAAGTTTTCACACAAGACTTTGAGGTACAAATTGCACACAGTAGAGGAATTCCCCTTGCACAGAGAATGTTCATCGCGTAGCTAATTTTACAGCATACGGTTAAGCCAGCTAGCATTGAGATGTGATGAGCAAGATAGTACTTCTAGTTGAATTTACAAACCTCAAATTCCATCTTCACAGTTCAGCAANGAAAATAAAAAAATCAATGCATGTGATGACAAATAGTTGTAGCAATTTATGAGGTGTGCACTACAAAGTTTAAGAGTCGCACTCACAATATGAGATGGCCAATCCTCGAGCCCATCAAATATATGGGTGGCATAAATAATGGTAGAACCTCGTTCTAAGCATTCCTTCTTAAGAAACTTTAGGAGGTCTGCTCTGGCAAGCACATCTAAGTCAACAGTGATCTCGTCAAGCAGGAGGACCTGGGGACAACAGGCATAACAATGTCAATACAATTAAATAAATGACCATCATGAAAGAAAACTCGATTGTTAATAACAGAGAAACTCACTTTGAATGGCTTTAGAAGACCCATACAGATTTGGACTCGCCTTCTTTGGCCATCAGATACTTTGTGCATTCTCCAGGAGAGGTCAATGCCTAAAACCTGCAATTTTGGAAGAATATAATATTTCTGAGGTAAATGTACACAAGCTTTGCCCATTTAGAAATGACCTACTGAATAAAGCGAGTTTGTCTAGAGAAGGATGTAAATATATATGGTATGTTTTCTGTTCATTGTCATATATGATTACATATTTAATTAACTCGAGCACGACAAGATACCACTGTTCCATGTTCTATCGACAGCTGCTGAAACAAACTGACATTTGCTAGGTTTTATTGCTCAACCTAGGTTGATTCAGATTGGCAGACACATAAGAATTTGATCTGGTCAATCAAACCAATTTGAAAGGTCACATATGTTTGGAGTATTCTCCATCAGTCAACGGAACTGTATCCTATTTTACTAGAGCAAGATGCAACATTTTGGGAAAAGAAAACAACCCTGAAGGGAAAAATGCCAATAAGATCCAAGCTAAAAAAAACTACCTTAATTAGTTCATCTCTCCTTTGGGGATTGATACCTGCTACTCCAAATATCATTTTCTCAGCAGAAACGTCCATCTGAATTGGAACCTCAAAACCAGCAAAAGCAACTTCACGCCTCCACTGCAAATAAACAAGTTTTCACACAAGACTTTGAGGTACAAATTGCACACAGTAGAGGAATTCCCCTTGCACAGAGAATGTTCATCGCGTAGCTAATTTTACAGCATACGGTTAAGCCAGCTAGCATTGAGATGTGATGAGCAAGATAGTACTTCTAGTTGAATTTACAAACCTCAAATTCCATCTTCACAGTTTAGCAATTATAGCACATTTACGTCAAAATACCAAGAAAAATTCCCTTATTACACTAACAACAACCATGAACACATCAACATTTCAACATTAATAAAGAGAACTGCCAAAATGTACCTCACCACCAAGATAAGCAAGATCACCAGAGGCAGTCAAGGCGGTGTCGTGAAAAGCGGATCGCCCCATGACCCTTACCATATCTTGCTCAACCATGTGCTTTCCCCCAATTATTTTCAAAATTGTTGTTTTACCTGATTAAATTCCACATCAATCTCAGCCATACCACATGAAAGGAAAACACTGATAAACCCATGAGAGAGAGAGAAAAAAAAAATTACCAGCGCCATTGGAACCGACAAGGAGGCAGCAATCGCCGGGGAAGAGTGTGAGGGAGAAATCATCGATCAAAGGAGTGGAACCCGGCGGAGGATGACCGTCGATTCCAGGGTAGGTGAATTAGAGCTTTTTGATCTCGAGTGTTGGTTGAGGGATGTCATGCCCTGCCATTACTGCGACTATCAGTTTTCCTTCTTCTTGGCAGTTAGATCGAAATATAGAGTGGTGATTTATGGGAAGGTCTTCGTATTGTGAATGGGAGAGTTTGGTAGCGGCAATGGCGATGGCTTTCTCTGTCTGAGACGTGGCCATAGTTACGACACTACCTCAGAATTAAAGGCTCGACCTTTTAACAAGGCAGCTGCTGAAAGTTGAAAAAAAAAAAATACACGTTATGTGGGTTGTGAAATTAATAACTACATGGAACGAATAATAAATAACTTTTGTAATTTTGAAGGATCAGTGGATCACCATCAATTAATTAACTAAAAAATATTAAATTTACTTTAACAAATTGCTTATGCAATTTAAAAATTTTTTACTATGACATTAAAAAAATAATTTATTTAAAAAAAATCTCTTAATTAGAAAAAATAAAATAAAATAGTGATTTTAGAATAATCACTTAAACAAATGTTTTTGCAATGTAATCTTTTATGTTTATGTAACTGTCATATATCATTTAGTGGAAAATATAATAACAATTTAAAATAATTTAAATTATATAATTCAATGAAAAATATAATTATTACTTAATTAATGTAACGGTCCATAAGCCGAGCCATCCGACGGCTCCATAGCAAAACCGTTTGTCTTAATTAATAAAAAAAGTGTAAAATTTAATGGTACATAGGAAAAAGGGAAATGCTCACATGCCCACGGTAGGCACATGTTAATATGCCAACCGCTGATGTGGCATGCACTGTCGAAAATAAACTGTAGTGCACATAAAAAGCATGTATGCGACTGCAATGGATAAATGCACTTGACCACAAATTCAACTCAATACGATTTTGTCTGGCCACTATAAAATATAACGCAAGCAAGGCTGCATAAGTCCATTGCAGGACCTAATTATTACAAGAAGGCTACAGCAAACAAATAAAATACCTATGCCGAACTCTCTTAACTTCTGGTTTAGCACAACAATGTCAGATTCACCTGAGGACTCTGTTAGAACTCAAGATAAAATTTTCTTCACCAGCTACAGTCGAACTCAGCCTCCCAGCAGCCCATCCATTGTTCAGTACCCGAGCACTAGTAGCTGGGCTATGATCACCCGCTTCACGGCCCTTTATCTCTTTTCTCAATTTCCTCTCCTCGTCTCTCTCTTTCCTCAACCAACTCTCCACATTTCTCTACAAATAGAAAAAAGGTTTTGACACTTGTGAATTCCCTTTACAGCATTAATATATTCTTTGATGAGCCAATTAATAGAGGAACTGACCATAAGTGACAAATTGCTTATCTCCTTGATTTTATTCATAGGCATTGCTAGTTGCAATTTCCCGCGAGCCACATAAACCTGACAAAAAGAAAATAAAAAAATCAATGCATGTGATGACAAATAGTTGTAGCAATTTATGAGGTGTGCACTACAAAGTTTAAGAGTCGCACTCACAATATGAGATGGCCAATCCTCGAGCCCATCAAATATATGGGTGGCATAAATAATGGTAGAACCTCGTTCTAAGCATTCCTTCTTAAGAAACTTTAGGAGGTCTGCTCTGGCAAGCACATCTAAGTCAACAGTGATCTCGTCAAGCAGGAGGACCTGGGGACAACAGGCATAACAATGTCAATACAATTAAATAAATGACCATCATGAAAGAAAACTCGATTGTTAATAACAGAGAAACTCACTTTGAATGGCTTTAGAAGACCCATACAGATTTGGACTCGCCTTCTTTGGCCATCAGATACTTTGTGCATTCTCCAGGAGAGGTCAATGCCTAAAACCTGCAATTTTGGAAGAATATAATATTTCTGAGGTAAATGTACACAAGCTTTGCCCATTTAGAAATGACCTACTGAATAAAGCGAGTTTGTCTAGAGAAGGATGTAAATATATATGGTATGTTTTCTGTTCATTGTCATATATGATTACATATTTAATTAACTCGAGCACGACAAGATACCACTGTTCCATGTTCTATCGACAGCTGCTGAAACAAACTGACATTTGCTAGGTTTTATTGCTCAACCTAGGTTGATTCAGATTGGCAGACACATAAGAATTTGATCTGGTCAATCAAACCAATTTGAAAGGTCACATATGTTTGGAGTATTCTCCATCAGTCAACGGAACTGTATCCTATTTTACTAGAGCAAGATGCAACATTTTGGGAAAAGAAAACAACCCTGAAGGGAAAAATGCCAATAAGATCCAAGCTAAAAAAACTACCTTAATTAGTTCATCTCTCCTTTGGGGATTGATACCTGCTACTCCAAATATCATTTTCTCAGCAGAAACGTCCATCTGAATTGGAACCTCAAAACCAGCAAAAGCAACTTCACGCCTCCACTGCAAATAAACAAGTTTTCACACAAGACTTTGAGGTACAAATTGCACACAGTAGAGGAATTCCCCTTGCACAGAGAATGTTCATCGCGTAGCTAATTTTACAGCATACGGTTAAGCCAGCTAGCATTGAGATGTGATGAGCAAGATAGTACTTCTAGTTGAATTTACAAACCTCAAATTCCATCTTCACAGTTCAGCAATTATAGCACATTTACGTCAAAATACCAAGAAAAATTCCCTTATTACACTAACAACAACCATGAACACATCAACATTTCAACATTAATAAAGAGAACTGCCAAAATGTACCTCACCACCAAGATAAGCAAGATCACCAGAGGCAGTCAAGGCGGTGTCGTGAAAAGCGGATCGCCCCATGACCCTTACCATATCTTGCTCAACCATGTGCTTTCCCCCAATTATTTTCAAAATTGTTGTTTTACCTGATTAAATTCCACATCAATCTCAGCCACACCACATGAAAGGAAAACACTGATAAACCCATGAGAGAGAGAGAAAAAAAAAATTACCAGCGCCATTGGAACCGACAAGGAGGCAGCAATCGCCGGGGAAGAGTGTGAGGGAGAAATCATCGATCAAAGGAGTGGAACCCGGCGGAGGATGACCGTCGATTCCAGGGTAGGTGAATCTGAGCTTTTTGATCTCGAGTGTTGGTTGAGGGATGTCATGCCCTGCCATTACTGCGACTATCAGTTTTCCTTCTTCTTGGCAGTTAGATCGAAATATAGAGTGGTGATTTATGGGAAGGTCTTCGTATTGTGAATGGGAGAGTTTGGTAGCGGCAATGGCGATGGCTTTCTCTGTCTGAGACGTGGCCATAGTTACGACACTACCTCAGAATTAAAAGCTCGACCTTTTAACAAGGCAGCTGCTGAAAGTTGAAAAAAAAAAATACACGTTATGTGGATTGTGAAATTAATAACTACATGGAACGAATAATAAATAACTTTTGTAATTTTGAAGCATCACTAGGGATGTCAATGGGCCAGGTCGTGTCGGGTACCTACGTACCGTGGGCATATGAGCATTTCTCTAGGTGGAATATATAAAGTTTTATTTAATGATTTGCCACTGAAGATAGAATGTCAATTTCTGCTTATTGTGCAAATCAAGTTTTTGTATTGATCGACTACTTTTCTTAATGAGCTTCGAATTTAATGTGTTAGCTAGATTATACATATATATGTGTGTATATATATAATATGTTTATCAATTAGTTCAATTCTTGCTTCATTGATGTGTTTATTTTCAACACTTATTTCTAATTTCATAATCAGTTATGTGAGGGTCTAAGTTAATGAAAGGGAGTGTCTTTATTGCTTTTGCTTAAACTTTGTTGTTGCTTTGTGCACGAATAGGTATAGGTTTGCTAACAATTTTTGGGTAACATTAGACCATAAAGTCTATGGAGCCATCGGATGGCTCCCTTATGTAGCCATCCATAACTTTATGTATTGACACGTGTCCAATGTGTATTTATTGCAGTGACACGTGCCAATACATCATTTGTGGATAACTATGGATGGCTCCATAAGTCGAGCCATCCGATAGCTCCATAGCAAAATTGAACATTAGACATGCAATATATATTCTTTTATATATGTGCCTTTTCTTAAGCACTATATGTTTCTTTAAATGTAACTAAATATGAATTTTCAAGCACAAGTTTCATAGCATATATGCTACATGCCATCCTACATTAATTTTTTTTACTATCCCAAAGGCATGGTTTGTTCATTGATGACTGTATGGGTCCTTCTTTTATTTACTTTTTTATTTGTATGTATAAAAGTTTTGTTGTGATGGTAAAAATAAAAACAAGCCATTGTTTGTGTGCCTTCATTCAGTTAAAGTTAAAGTGCTGTTGTTAGGAGACAATTTAAAAACTCCCATTTATTCATCAGAAGAGAAGATTGGTACTTGATATGTTTCACATCATATTCATCAGTCTTATTGTGTGCAACATCAAATGTGGTTTACCGGCTTATTCCTTTTCTTAATGAATTTTCAGTTCGTTGTGTTCAAATTTACATTATTCGTTTGTCGCAATTCAATTTGAGTCTGGTAGTCTGTTTATTACTTGTTAACTATGTCTATTCCATCAGCAAATTGCAGTTTCATATGTTTATAAGATATTTGTTTCTGCTTATTGTGCAAAATCAATTGTTTTCTATTAGATCACTGTTTTTCTTTATGGTCTGGGAATTTAATGTGTTTGTTCGATTATATGGATATGTATGTATGTAAATTAATTAGCTTCTTGCTTCAATGATATATTTGTTTTCAACAATTTTGTTTTTTTATCATAATCGTTTATGTGGTCATCTTTCAAAACTATAGTTTAATTCTTAATAAATATGTAGGTGACAGTATTATTTTGTGAAACTGCTGTTTAAAGCTCTTGGAATTCTATTGGCCAGCAGGGAGAGTGAAGTGTTTGTTAGTTGCTATGAGGTTAGCTTCCTTTTGTGCACATCAACTATTAACTGTTTTCCTTCATTTAACCATTTATTTATCTGTGTGCTTCCCAATATACTACTAATTACCTGATGTGCATATAATAGATCATTTTGGTTTTCTGATTTTTTTTTTGTTTTGCTGCGCGTTTACTGGATAAAATAAAATAATTCTGTTTATGTATGTATGTTTGTAAAGTAGCTGATTATTGATAATTCATTAACTCTGTGTGTTTGTTTGGATTATGTGACTTCAATAATTTTGCTCATTGTAGATTTACTTATTATATATATTAGAGTAAATTTAGGTTAACATAAAAGCATGCATTCACGTGTGTAATGAAGTGTTACAGAAAACTTTCGGCTCTGCTTTCTCATGTTATTTTAGCTTGATTATATAAAAGATTACAACCTTTTTTAGTTCTTTGCTTTCTTTGCTCTCTTGGCTGAAGTTATTTGCTCAGGTTGTAATTTTCCAAAGGCTGATGCAAGTACTTGAAAGAAAAGTCGTCCAAACGCCTGTACGAATGCAACATTTAACTTTTAAAAGGCACAAGCGTCGTGGTACAAACCTTTTGTGTTTTTTTATTATGTATATATACCAAAATTTCAACCATCTTAGTGGCATCAGTGCCATGCAACTCCCTTTTGTGTTTTTTATGTATATATACCAAAATTTCAGCAATCTTAGTGGCATCAGTGCTATGCAAACTTGGCTTTTGTGTATGCTAAATATCCTTGGCAAAATTCCAAGCATTTATTTACATGTAGATGCTTCAGAATTATCATGAAGAATTCAAATATTTGTGCTGTCTAGCTACTACACTTTTGTGTATATATATTATGGATTGATGTTTACCTAATATAATGTGCATGCCTATGTTGAATTAACCTTCTTTACAATTTAGTGGCACTCAAATGCCTACCTGACTTGGGACAGCACAGCCGCAGCCTTCTAGTCCTCTTATCTATAAAAAGGAAGGCCTCCCTTCATTTAATGACACGTGTCCGGCTTTTTATTATGAATCCACGTCGCCCTCCACGAAACGACGTCGTTCTTCATTTTGTGAACCTGATCTCTCCAACCCTGTGGCAGCATATGCGTTCAATTCCGGAGACAAATTCCACCCAAATTTTTTTACCTTCAAATCTGAATCTGCTACTCTTATTTTCTTTGCAAATCTCTTCAATTTTTATTTTCTATTTTCTAATTTTCGTTTTGCCCAATGTTTGTAGCCTCCAAATCTCATTTTCCTTACGAAACCCTAGCTAAATTGCCGCCCCTTCGTCGATATTGTCAAGAAGACCGACTATAACTCCCACGCCTTTGTGCATCAGCGAGAAGGGCGAGGGCAGTCCCGGAAATCCCCTCCATCTTCACTGCCAGGACCGAGCGGCTCAACCGCAGGTACAAGTGAGAACAAAATTTCTGAAAGAGGTACTCATAATTCAAGTCACCAATCGCGCGTTTATCGTCATTTGATTTTTTTCGCCCTCTAGATACTTTTAGACCATGGTCTTTTAAAAAAAAGTTATTGCACTCACTTTTCACTTTAGTTGAATTTAGCATATTAAAAGTTAAGTTTATGCCATATCTGGTGCTTTCATGTTATCTTCTTAAAAAATAGTCGAATTTAACTTTAAAATTTTTATTTTTAAAAAGTTTTTTCAAATATCGTGACCGAGAGGGTCAAGGTTGCACAGTGTCTGTCATAATCTCTTCTACATGTTGGTTGCCAAAAAGTTTATTGCTTCTGGTTTGGTGCTAAACGCCTTTTTGCATGTGTTCTACATTCCCATGTCGATGATATCAAATGTAGTTTAATCCTGGCCTTTTCCATTTTGTTAATGTATTGCAACTATCAGTCATTTGGTTGAGTAGGTGGGAATGGATTGGTCAGCAGGCCTAAATTTTCATAGCTTATTTGTGTGAGGGATTACATATGCGATCTCATGCGGCCTTGGGCTTACTTTAGACTAATAGTTTCTGATTTTCTTCTGTTATATCGGAAAATATGATATATTACATTATTACGCCGATTGCAGATGAGCTTGTAAACAGTGATGGTGACTTTGAGGATTAATATTTAGCAGAGAGGAGGAGTGACATAGTTTGTCCCTATCTTTATGTTCGTACTAATACTTCACATTTTCGGGTTTTGATATTCAAGTTTGTATCAAGGTTCTAAAGTTGTTACTTTTTTTTTTCATAAATATTCTGTTTTACTTTTTTTTTTTCATAAATATTCTGTTTCTGAAGGTAAGGGTTGGAGCTGAAGGAGGCGGGATCTCTCTAGCTGGGACTGGTTGGGATCAAAGAGCTTTAGATATTGCTCAAGAAGTTACAGTCTAATTTGATGGCGAACTTGGTATATATGCATTTAGGACACTGCTAAATGCCACCATTCAAGTTCTTATCGAGAGGCTTACTAATAAGTAAGATTAGTTTCTTGCATTTATTCTTACCACATCTTGCTTGAAATAATTTTTTCCCTCTATTTTGTATTCTTGTTGAGAAGAAAACAGTAAGTAATAACTAATACATTTGGTCTTTATAGCTGCCGCACTTGCTCATAAAGAATCAATTTTCTTAAAAGAGCCTACGCATCTTGTATCCGAAGTCTGAAATCAGCATACTCTTCCATCTTAACAATCAAGGATTGTGTCTCCTTCTACACACGCTTTTATACGTTTAGAGGCCCTTGTTCTCTTCGTTTTTGTAGTTGTTGATTGTTTTCCATGTGAAACTGCTTGTCTATTTCTATTTTTTTTTCGCTATTATATTTCTGTTTTTAGTTTTTACCTGTAATGTTGATGTCTTTGGAAAAATATCCTTATAGTATTTTGGGGTAGAGAAGGTAAAGTATGTTTTAACATTCTGATTAATGCTTTAAGCTTTTAGTCGGGAAAGTCAACCTCTTTAATCTGAATATATGTTTCACAAGTCAGGCTCTCCTACTTTGACGGACATTGAAGATATCACAACAACATACCAAGGTCGGCTTGCTGAAGCCGAAGCTACTGGATCCATTCCCGTAAACATATATCTCAACGTTATTCATTGACTATATTATTCTTCAATTGCTTATTTTTTAGTTGTCTTCAATTGAAATAGGACTTGCCTCTTGCACGGTCTTAACAATGTCTTTAAACACGTGTCTAAGGTTAGTAAACTGTATCTTGATCTTTTTGGCAGGTTCCTCGCCCAGCGTCGGGAGGGTCTTCCAAATCCCAGAAGAACCCTTTACTTATGAATGCCCTCTTGATAAAGTTTCAACTCACCCTTGCTCTTTGTATTTTTGTGCACTTAACGTGTGGCAGTTATATGTTGTAGCTTCACCTGATTATATGTTGTTTGTGAGCACCAAAATGATTAATATGACGGTGGAACTTATCAGCATATCCAAATGTTTTTCCTATAATTGCCAAACAATAAATACATTTTAACTAATCCTGGTGGTTGCATTACAGAGACCTCTATGATAGAGAAGGATTCGAATCCCCGATATTCTTATTGATACTTCACCTTTGAAGACTGACTCTTTCAACTGCTCAAACATCCATCTTCTTCACGCTTTGTAGTACGCGCTATCTATCCGCACACGGCAGGTAGCTGGCTACAGTATGAGGCTAAGTTTTCTCACCTTCTTTTTGTTTGATTTTTTTATTTTTTTTTTTCTTTTGTGGACTGAATTGAAGGGATAGGTGTGTGGTGAAGAAAAAAGAAACAGAAAAAGAGAAAGACGATATATATTGTATTTGAATTAATCCAGCTAATATAATTTGTTGCGAGCAGTTTGGACACGTAATCCAATATCATGTGGAATTTTTATTATTTTTTGAATGATCCATGATACACAACTATGTCAATGCATTTTTCCTATGACCACTTATGGCTATGCCTTTGTGTTATAAAGATACATTAATTTACTGAATGTTTTGGTTTCAAATGGAATATTTATTATACTTTTTTTTTTAATATTTGTTACTTTGGAATTTAGGGTAATCCTTGCTCTTTCTAGGTGGATAAAGAATGAGGAAAGTTGCAGGTTTTTGAAATGCATAACTAGCAGCAATTTGGGCAAACATACGTTAGAACTATAAGTCTTATATCAAGGAAGAAGGTGTTTTTACTAATTGCATTATTTCGTGCACCCTCATTAACTCGATGGGGTATGCTAAAACAAATTTAGTATTTTGTGCGTTTTTTAATTTTTTGTCTATTTTAATTATTTAGTGACGCCTTGTATGTTATGAGAAGACAGTCGATTGGGCCAAATGAAAAAATGGACAACTACGTCCGCCGGAAAACGAAAAATAGTAATGTCAATCTTAATCAAAATGTCTTATGCTTGATGATATTTATTGTCCTATTTTGGGTTCTTTTGTTATTCTTGTATAGTTGATTGGTGGGTTGTAGTGCATTCAGGGGGATGCAATTGATCGTTATTTTTTTTAACATTGTACTGAGGTCATCTTTATGCGATAAAAAGTGGATATTCAATTTTTCCGGTGGATGTGTCTTGATGTTTATAATCGGCAATGGCAATGGAGGATTTGTTTGGCTACATACGTGGCTCCACTTGAAGATTATAAGGTAATGAAAAGTAAATCCACATTGGGAGTGTGAGCTTCATATTTGTTGAACTTTGCATCTTTGAAGCTGACAGAGTAACAAACTTCCTTTATGGAATGTAGATGTCTATAACTTTTGTATATATATAAACTTCATCTCTAGATGGCAATAATTTGGAGCATTTACTAAATGTTTGATATTAATTGGAATGGCATGTGATGTTTGTTTTATTTTATAAGATTTTAATAGTCATTCTTTCTGTAGATAACTCATATTTCATTCTATTTGTTTTCTTTGAACATAATTCACATATTACAAGTGCATTCAAATGTTCATGATATTACATATCAAATGTATATTTAGAATAATTAACGTGGGCCGATAGTATATAATGTAAATTAGGGAATAGGGATTAGGTTTGAGAAAAGAGAAATTTCTGTCCCTTTGCATCTCGCTCTCGCACAGCCACAACCGCCCCATCCCTACTCACTCCATCACTCGTCGCCTCTCTCTCACAGTCGCTCTCTCCGGCCGTCCGGCGTCTTGAGCCTCTCGACACAGTACACACTCGCGAAGTCCGACAAAGCCTCTTCTTCGCGCCTCGACCGCTCGACGCCTCACCTCCGAAGTCCGACCCAAAAGCTCCGGCCGCTCCTCGCCTTGCCTCTAAGACCCGCCTCACCTCCGAGGCTCCGACATAAAGGTTCGACGCCCCGCCTCCGACTCGACTCCAATTTCAGATTTAAAAAAAAAAAAATGTTCAATGCTATCGTGTATTAGTATGTAATTAGATGTTAAGAACTTAAGATGTTGAAATTGAAATATATTTCTTGTGATTTGAATTGCTGTGGAATTTGGTATGACTGGGAGTTAGGATGGATTTATGTTTAAGAATTAGGATAAATTGCTGTGTTGTTATCTTGAGTTAGGATGGCTGACCATCACTGAGAACAAAAAGTAGGAGTGGATTAGTACGAGTTATTGGACGGGAGAATAAACAGCTTCAGAATTGAAGAAGTTCGAGAATTTGAAAAATGTTGCAGTGCATATTTCTCCTATCAGATTCAGGGTGCGATCTCAAACCTTTCATATTCTCTTCAGGATTATTTTCTCGTTACGAAAAAATATTAATATACAATCTTGACATCTTCTGATTATGGGTTCTTGCGTATAAGGTGGAAACTGAGAAGGACACTAATAGTTGTTGCTAACGGATTAATGTAGAGGCAATTGAGCTCCCTTGTTTACTTCGTCCTGTGGATGTTTTTCCTTAAACGATTGTTAATTAATTATGTAAAAGTAGATCTTAGATAGCTTTTAAATTATCAGTTGCAGCTGTGAAGGAGATCGCTGATTGTATAGTTTCGCTGCTATATCTGCTTGCCTGATGGAAAAAAGACAATCTTGGGATTTTATGCTTCAAAATGGGGTTGATATTTGAGGAGTGCTTACTAAAACTAAGAACAAATGCTTTGGTACCTTTTTACATGGAAAATTGAGTAGATATTCCACCTAGAATTTCGAATGGGAGACACTTTATTTTTTAATTATATATATATATATACATATATTTGGTTTGTTTTGCAAACACTCCTCTCCCTGTGGAAGTTTGAGGAAGAAATTATAATTATAGTCGGTAAATTCATCGGAAAGAATGATGAAGTAGGTGAATTATATGCCTTATTGTGAAATTTTAGGGAAGTGATGTTGGAAAAACAGCTCACGGGTCACCGGGTCGATCGCTCCATATGTGCATGGTTCTGGGACCAAGTACATACTCAAGGAGATTCTTTGAAGGTATCGAGTTTGTATTTATTTTTTTATTTTTTTTGTATAAACTTTGCATGTTGCAACGCACTGCTCCATGCATTCCGTCTTTTTTATGTTTCTTATAGACCGTTTCTAAGAGTGAACCCTTTTTCTTTTTCTCTTGCATTGTCATAGAGCGTGCCTGTTATTGCTTCACCGACCCACTATCTGTTCCAAGTGATCCGTGAGGGAATAACGTTTTTGGCTTGCACCCAAGTTGAGATGCCACCTTTAATGGCTATTGAGGTGTGTGCCCTAAGCTGTGGTTCTCATTGACAATTCCAGTAATTTCTGTATGTGCTATCATGTAAATCTCTTTGCAGACTTGGATTTTTTTTCTTATTTTTTATTTTTCTGAGTCTGTTATCACTCTGAAATTAAATAGAGTGGCATGGTAACATTGTGAGTATCATTCTGAATAACTTTGGTGCTGTTTCTTAGCTTTTCAAGAATTTGTAAGGTGGCACTAGATTATACATATACAAATGTGGTCTTGTGTAGAAAGTCTTGTTAAACACTTGACGGTTTGATTTCTAGTTTCTTTGCAGGGTAGCTGATGTTCTTACAGATTATTTGGATGGCCTGAATGAGGATCTGATTAAGGATAATTTTGTTATCGTTTACGAGGTATCAATGATGTTTTGTTCGTTGTGAAGTCTGATGTTAGACTTTGGTTAATTACATGGTTAATTTCCTTTTACATACTATTTTATTCTTTCCTGAAGTAATTGTCTGGCTTGTCTTGTATCATTCTCATAAAATCTGTTATGAATCAATAACAGGGAATATTCTTTTCATTAATTTAATATTGCTGAACTTAAACCCTCACTTTATGATGCATTGTTTTTTTTTTTCTTATGTATCTACTAAAGGGAATTTAATACCTCAAGTGCTTATCGACATTATATCATAATTCTTTATGCAAATAATTTAATAACTAGGCAATTGGAGCATTGGTAGTTGATTTTCAGTTCTGAAATGAATTAGCCTGTGTTCATACCTCAACTGTGTATCATCGTGATATTTCAGTTGAATTCTTCTGAGCCATTCTGTAATTCTAACTCTAGAAGAATCTTATTTTAAATATGCAGTTGCTGGATGAGATGATAGACAATGGCTTCCCTCTAACAACGGAACCTAGTATATTAAGGGAAATGCTAGCTCCTTCTAATATTGTTAGTAAGGTTTTGAGTGTTGTCACTGGTAATTCATCCAATGTGAGCAATACTTTTCCAGGTGCCACATCATCATGTGTTCCATGGAGAAAGACTGACCTTAAGCACTCAAGCAATGATGTTTATGTCGATCTTGTCGAAGAAATGGATGCTACTATAAACAGGTACACATATTTCTATCACAAAGCTCTTAATTTCCACTATTTTCAGTAGATTAAAGAATTCAATTCCTTATAAATTAGAAGCAATCTTTCTAACCATAGTTAGAATCGGATTCATATGATTGAAAAAGGCATTATGGTTAACAGCTGCTGCTGGCAACCTGTGATTTTTTAAATTTTTTAATTCTGATAAATAAAATCATTTTCAACATTTCAGTGATTAATTTTATAGTACTCTGATGCATTAGACGAGCAGCTTGTGTCATAGTACTAATTACACGGTTTCTCTTCTGAAGCTACTAAATCATTTTAATTTTCTCTGATGCTTAGAGATGGGGCTCTGGTAAAATGCGAGATATATGGTGAAGTTCAAGTAAATTCTCACCTATCAGGTCTACCCGATCTCACACTATCGTTCGCCAATCCTTCAGTTCTTAATGACGTGAGGTTTCACCCTGGTGTTCGACTTCGGCCTTGGGAGTCAAATCAGATCTTATCTTTTGTGCCGCCTGATGGGCAATTTAAGCTCATGAGTTACAGGTATTCTATTTTTCAGGGCAGAAAAAGATAATCATATTGTTTCTTGTTAACTCTTGCCCTTGTTTTGTCAGATTGAAAAAGCTGAAGAATATTCCGATTTATGTGAAGCCGCAACTGACGTTCGACTCAGGGATTTGCCGTATAAGCATATTGGTGGGAATACGAAATGATCCTGGAAAGTCAATTGACACTTTAACAGTTCAATTCCAACTACCGCCTTCTGTTGTGTCGTCTGATCTTTCTTCTTAATTGTGGACCAGTAAATGTTCTTGCTGATAAGGTATGGACTTGTAAGCAAACATTTAGTTCGACTTGAGTCTTGCGTTAATATTTTCCAGGAAGACTGTATAATGCTTTATTTGAAATTATTTGGGTACTAAAAATTCATGAAGGCCACCACTCTTGTGCATATTATTATCTATTCTTCTTTGCTATTTATGCTCTTTATGATGGATTTTAGCTGATTTTTGGCAGACATGTTTGTGGACGATTGGGAAAATCCCAAAAGATAAAGCTCCTTCAATGTCTGGAACCTTGGTGCTTGAGAGTGGCATGGAGAAACTTCATATATTTCCCACTTTTATAGTGGGTTTTAGAATTATGGGTGTGGCCCTATCCGGCTTAAAAATCGAAAAATTGGATATACTAAATTTGCCCACGCGTTCATATAAAGGCTTTCGAGCTCTCACCAGAGCTGGTGAATTTCAAGTGAGATCATGAGCTTTTGTGTTAAAGAAGGCGAATATGCATTGAGGACATAACTATTTTGTTTCGAGATTGGTGTTTTGCCTTGTTGATGTTGTGTATTTATCGTAGTGCGTTGGAACAGTACGTTTTGATGCGTTTGAATTTGTGCTTTCCTGCTGCATTTGAATTTGTTCTTTAACTCTCTTCTGTAACTGTGGACAAGAAGTAAATGTAATTTTGAATGACACATTTGAAGGAAATGGAGTGATTTGCTGCTAGTCTTGATTTTCACTTGTAAAGTTGTAACATATAATTTTCTCTAAACACCGAAAACAAATGATGGGCAATGGATAAATGCATTACAAATGTCACCCCAACTCAACACCGAAAACAAATGAGCCTATATGCATGTCGAAAATAAACTGTAGTGCACATAAAAAGCATGTATGCGACTGCAATGGATAAATGCACTCGACCACAAATTCAACTCAATAGGATAAATGCACTCGACCACAAATTCAACTCAATACGATTTTGTCTGGCCACTATAAAATATAACGCAAGCAAGGCTGCATAAGTCCATTGCAGGACCTAATTATTACAAGAAGGCTACAGCAAACAAATAAAATATCTATGCCGAACTCTCTTAACTTCTGGTTTAGCACAACAAAATGTCAGATTCACCTGAGGACTCTGTTAGAACTCAAGATAAAATTTTCTTCACCGGCTACAGTCGAACTCAGCCTCCCAGCAGCCCATCCATTGTTCAGTACTCGAGCACTAGCAGCTGGGCTATGATCACCCGCTTCACGGCCCTTTATCTCTTTTCTCAATTTCCTCTCCTCGTCTCTCTCTTTCCTCAACCAACTCTCCACAGTTCTCTACAAATAGAAAAAAGGTTTTGACACTTGTGAATTCCCTTTACAGCATTAATATATTCTTTGATGAGCCAATTAATAGAGGAACTGACCATAAGTGACAAATTGCTTATCTCCTTGATTTTATTCATAGGCATTGCTAGTTGCAATTTCCCGCGAGCCACATAAACCTGACAAAAAGAAAATAAAAAAATCAATGCATGTGATGACAAATAGTTGTAGCAATTTATGAGGTGTGCACTACAAAGTTTAAGAGTCGCACTCACAATATGAGATGGCCAATCCTCGAGCCCATCAAATATATGGGTGGCATAAATAATGGTAGAACCTCGTTCTAAGCATTCCTTCTTAAGAAACTTTAGGAGGTCTGCTCTGGCAAGCACATCTAAGTCAACAGTGATCTCGTCAAGCAGGAGGACCTGGGGACAACAGGCATAACAATGTCAATACAATTAAATAAATGACCATCATGAAAGAAAACTCGATTGTTAATAACAGAGAAACTCACTTTGAATGGCTTTAGAAGACCCATACAGATTTGGACTCGCCTTCTTTGGCCATCAGATACTTTGTGCATTCTCCAGGAGAGGTCAATGCCTAAAACCTGCAATTTTGGAAGAATATAATATTTCTGAGGTAAATGTACACAAGCTTTGCCCATTTAGAAATGACCTACTGAATAAAGCGAGTTTGTCTAGAGAAGGATGTAAATATATATGGTATGTTTTCTGTTCATTGTCATATATGATTACATATTTAATTAACTCGAGCACGACAAGATACCACTGTTCCATGTTCTATCGACAGCTGCTGAAACAAACTGACATTTGCTAGGTTTTATTGCTCAACCTAGGTTGATTCAGATTGGCAGACACATAAGAATTTGATCTGGTCAATCAAACCAATTTGAAAGGTCACATATGTTTGGAGTATTCTCCATCAGTCAACGGAACTGTATCCTATTTTACTAGAGCAAGATGCAACATTTTGGGAAAAGAAAACAACCCTGAAGGGAAAAATGCCAATAAGATCCAAGCTAAAAAAACTACCTTAATTAGTTCATCTCTCCTTTGGGGATTGATACCTGCTACTCCAAATATCATTTTCTCAGCAGAAACGTCCATCTGAATTGGAACCTCAAAACCAGCAAAAGCAACTTCACGCCTCCACTGCAAATAAACAAGTTTTCACACAAGACTTTGAGGTACAAATTGCACACAGTAGAGGAATTCCCCTTGCACAGAGAATGTTCATCGCGTAGCTAATTTTACAGCATACGGTTAAGCCAGCTAGCATTGAGATGTGATGAGCAAGATAGTACTTCTAGTTGAATTTACAAACCTCAAATTCCATCTTCACAGTTCAGCAATTATAGCACATTTACGTCAAAATACCAAGAAAAATTCCCTTATTACACTAACAACAACCATGAACACATCAACATTTCAACATTAATAAAGAAAACTGTCAAAATGTACCTCACCACCAAGATAAGCAAGATCACCAGAGGCAGTCAAGGCGGTGTCGTGAAAAGCGGATCGCCCCATGACCCTTACCATATCTTGCTCAACCATGTGCTTTCCCCCAATTATTTTCAAAATTGTTGTTTTACCTGATTAAATTCCACATCAATCTCAGCCACACCACATGAAAGGAAAACACTGATAAACCCATGAGAGAGAGAGAAAAAAAAAATTACCAGCGCCATTGGAACCGACAAGGAGGCAGCAATCGCCGGGGAAGAGTGTGAGGGAGAAATCATCGATCAAAGGAGTGGAACCCGGCGGAGGATGACCGTCGATTCCAGGGTAGGTGAATCTGAGCTTTTTGATCTCGAGTGTTGGTTGAGGGATGTCATGCCCAGCCATTACTGCGACTATCAGTTTTCCTTCTTCTTGGCAGTTAGATCGAAATATAGAGTGGTGATTTATGGGAAGGTCTTCGTATTGTGAATGGGAGAGTTTGGTAGCGGCAATGGCGATGGCTTTCTCTGTCTGAGACGTGGCCATAGTTACGACACTACCTCAGAATTAAAAGCTCGACCTTTTAACAAGGCAGCTGCTGAAAGTTGAAAAAAAAAAATACACGTTATGTGGGTTGTGAAATTAATAACTACATGGAACGAATAATAAATAACTTTTGTAATTTTGAAGGATCACTAGGGATGTCAATGGGCCAGGTCGTGTCGGGTACCTACGTACCCAGACCTGGCCCGTGTTTTTGCCCTGTGGACCCGACCTGGCCCGTGACCCGTGACGGGTCCAACAGATCGGACCCGTGCCCTGACCCGTTTCGGGGCAGGTCGACCCGACCTGACCTGTGGCCCGTGCCTGACCCGGTTCGACCCGCCTTGACCTATGTTTTTTGCTCCATTGTTGCAATTTAGCAACACAGTTGCAGCAGATTGCTGCTTCACAATAGAAAAAGAAAAAGAAAAAAAAAAACAACTGAAAAGTTACATATGCACAGCACAGCAATTCGTCTTCATTTTAAGCCATACCAAATCCATCCTAACTCAAGATAACAACACAGCAATTTATCCTAATTCCTAAACATAAATCCATCCTAACTCCCAGTCATACCAAATTCCACAGCAATTCAAATCACAAGAAATATATTTCAATTTCAACATCTTAAGTTCTTAACATCTAATTACATACTAATACACGATAGCATTGAACATTTTTTTTTTTTTTAAATCTGAAATTGGAGTCGAGTCGGAGGCGGGGCGACGAACCTTTATGTCGGAGCCTCGGAGGTGAGGCGGGTCTTAGAGGCAAGGCGAGCAGCGGCCGGAGCTTTTGGGTCGGACTTCGGAGGTGAGGCGTCGAGCGGTCGAGGCGCGAAGAAGAGGCTTTGTCGGACTTCGCGAGTGCGTACTGTGTCGAGAGGCTCAAGACGCCGGACGGCCGGAGAGAGCGACTGTGAGAGAGAGGCGACGAGTGATGGAGTGAGTAGGGATGGTGCGGTTGTGGCTGTGCGAGAGCGAGATGCAAAGGGACAGAAATTTCTCTTTTCTCAAACCTAATCCGTATTCCCTAATTTACATTATATACTATATATATGATATATAATTTTCATAAAAAAATAAAAGACAAAAATCAGCCCGGGGCAGGTCGGGGCGGGCCGAGATTCAAGACCCGGACGAGGCCCGCTTATCCTACGGGTCGGACTTGGCCCGGCCCGTTATAGAAACGGGGCAAATTTTCCCCGCCCCAAATGCTCCGAGTCAGGGCGGGTCGGATTGGGTCCAGGTCGTTTTGTCATCTCTAAGGATCACCATCAATTAATTAACTAAAAAATATTAAATTTATTATAACAAATTGCTTATGCAATTTTAAAAAATTTTACTATGACATTAAAAAAATAATTTATTTTAAAAAAAATCTCTTAATTAGAAAAAATAAAATAAAATAGTGATTTTAGAATAATCACTTAAACAAATGCTTTTGCAATGTAATCTTTTATGTTTATGTAACTTTCATATATCATTTAGTGGAAAATATAATAACAATTTAAAATAATTTTAATTATATAATTCAATGAAAAATATAATTATTACTCAATTAATGTAACGGTCCATAAGCCGAGCCATCCGACGGCTCCATAGCAAAACCGTTTGTCTTAATTAATAAAAAAAAAGTATAAAATTTAATGGTACATAGGTAGAAGGGAAATGCTCACATGGCCACGGTAGGCACATTTAATATGTCAACTGCTGATGTGGCATGCACACATTGGTGATGTTAATATGGTAAAAAAAGTACATCACCAATGTGTGCATGCCACATAAGTCGGTGGACATATTAACATGTGCCGGACCGTGGGAATGTGAGCATTTCTCTAGGTGGAATATATAAAGTTTTATTTAATGATTTGCCACTGAAGTAAAATTTATTAGGTTTTATTTAATGACTTACTAGCAATTATATATACTAGTAAATATCATGTGCACATGCACAAATGTACATAAAATATTATAAATAATATTTGAGAATTTAATATTTAAATTTTAGATAATGGACATATTATATTTTTAAAATTTAATCATTAGGAAAAAATAAATTAATGATTATTTATTATTATGAACAATTGTTTATTATCATTAGATAATAACAGTTTGATTATTATTATTATTGTTATTATTATTATTATTATTATTATTATTATTATTATTACAAAAACAATTGTTTATAAGATTCTAAAGTTGTTTGATTAATAAAACAATTTACTAATTCTTTTTAAAGAAAATTTTTCATGAGATACAAAAGAAAAAGAATATTGATATTAAAATAAATAGCTTGAAACAATTGTTTATAATTATGCAATTTATATTTATTGTGAATTATTATTTGTTGGTAATAGCATTAATTATTATATAATATAATAGAAAATACATGATTACACTCAATAGGATGGATTAATGTGAGAAGTAAAAAAACATTAATGATAAATTTTATAACCGAAAATGGAGGGAAAATTTTAGAGGTTTTATTAAATAGGTTTTCTTAAATGCTATTAGCTAGTAATTATATATATATATATATATATATATACACACACACAGAGACGGATGTACATAAGGCCTGGGTTGGGCTGAAGCCCAGGCCTATTTTTTTTTTTTTAACTACTATTAACTTAGTTTTTTATTTTTATTTTTTATCTTAGCCCAGTCCAATAAAAACAAATAACAACAAAGCCCAAACATACAACCAACTTCTTAAATTCTCCTAAGCCTGCTCGCTCACCCCCTCATGACAGAGTAAGAATTTTGTTCCCTTCCTCCCTCTCAATTCTCTCTTCAGTCTGCGGACTGCTTTCACTCACCGGCTGCCGAAATCCATCATCAACTAGTCGACCAGCCATCACTTCCACTCGGCCATCCGATTTAAAAGGCACCAAAAAAAATTATATTTACTTTACAAACCCTAGATGGCTAGATTACGTATTACGAAGGGACAAAATATCATATGAGGTTTAATTATTGTGTGAAACATTCATGATAGAGTGCTTGTTCTTGAAAAGAAACGAGAAATTTGAACCCAGAAGCATTCAAAATATTACTATCTCTGTGATTTTTAATTTATTTAATTTCTTTTTTCTGGATTTCGAGCAATTGGGTGTTGAGATCTAGCATTTGCTTCAAAATTTGTTTAGTTTTTATACTCAGATGAGCCTACATTTGATCAATTTATGAACCAGAGTATTTTTTAATTTTTTAAATTATCATGTTATTTTTTCAGTTTTGTCTAAATATGTCTAGTAATATCACTTTTGTTTCAATTTTTATACTAATATGTAGCAAATTGCCAATATCATTTGTAGACAGATCTATTTATCAAAGATATGGTGTCTACCAATGTTATTTTTTTTGTATATTTTATGATGTTTGTTTGAGTTTCATTTCTTTTGCCATTTTTTTTTTTATTTTCATTTTTGAATTGAATGTAGAAATTATTGGGGAAGTGAATATTAGTTCTGAATAGAATGTTTGAACTTAAGATGAAGATTTAATTATACTAAGAGCCACCTTGAGAGATTTCTCATTTTTGGTTTGGTATAAGATTATTTATTTTTTTTTTATTTTTTTAGATTTTGCACTTTTAGTAGACAATTTATTTGGTGCAAGTTCGTTTTTTAAAGGTTGATCATATGAGTATAGAACGGTTGATCATATTTGGCGCAAGTTCATTTCTTATGTGATTTTTTTTTATGAAAAATGAGTATTTAAAGTTCTAGCCCAGTCTATTCTTAATTTCTAGATCCGTCCCTGTATATATATATATGTGTGTGTGTGTGTGTAGATTTAATACTAATAAGTAATACCTTAATACTACTAATTTTATTTTATTTCTTTTGGCAAAACTTAATACTAATAACTTAACTTAGAACATAGAAGTCTCACCCATTAACCAAAAAAAAAACTAAACTAAAATAAAATAAAATCGGCCCTCTCACTAATTCACAGATCGCGCTCGATTCCAACCAGAAGAAAGAAACCAGAGCGGCAGAGCCCTTGTTCGCGCTCGCTCCTCACTCTAATCGGCACCGACACCGGAAATCTCTCTGGCTGGTGGAACTCTCAATGGCATTCTCTCCGGCACTGGCGGCCTCACAAATTCAGGTACTGAAATTCATGGAATTCAAGTACTTTTCAATTACTGAAATAATAAAATTCGTTTTCCTACCTGGTACTGAATCGGCATCATCTTCCAAGAGTACAATTTTTGATATTAGTGTATTGCCCTAATCAGCTTGCAGGCTTGCCATAGATCTGAAAACATTAAATGGCAATTGAGGATTAGGGATGACAAAACGACTTGGACCCGGCCCGACCCGCCCTGACCCGGAGCATTTGGGGCGGGGAAAATTTGCCCGTTTCTATAACGGGCCGGGCCAAGTCCGACCCGTAGGATAAGCGGGCCAGGTCCGGGTCTTGAATCTCGGCCCGCCCCGACCTGCCCCGACCCTGCCTGACCTGCCCCGGGCTGATTTTTGTCTCTTATTTTTTTATAAAAATTATATATCATATATATAGTATATAATGTAAATTAGGGAATAGGGATTAGGTTTGAGAAAAGAGAAATTTCTGTCCCTTTGCATCTCGCTCTCGCACAGCCACAACCGCACCATCCCTACTCACTCCATCACTCGTCGCCTCTCTCTCACAGTCGCTCTCTCCGGCCGTCCGGCGTCTTGAGCCTCTCGACACAGTACGCACTCGCGAAGTCCGACAAAGCCTCTTCTTCGCGCCTCGACCGCTCGACGCCTCACCTCCGAAGTCCGACCCAAAAGCTCCGGCCGCTCCTCGCCTTGCCTCTAAGACCCGCCTCACCTCCGAGGCTCCGACGTAAAGGTTCGACGCCCCGCCTCCGACTCGACTCCAATTTCAGATTTAAAAAAAAAAAAATGTTCAATGCTATCGTGTATTAGTATGTAATTAGATGTTAAGAACTTAAGATGTTGAAATTGAAATATATTTCTTGTGATTTGAATTGCTGTGGAATTTGGTATGACTGGGAGTTAGGATGGATTTATGTTTAAGAATTAGGATAAATTGCTGTGTTGTTATCTTGAGTTAGGATGGCTGACCATCACTGAGAACAAAAAGTAGGAGTGGATTAGTACGAGTTATTGGACGGGAGAATAAACAGCTTCAGAATTGAAGAAGTTCGAGAATTTGAAAAATGTTGCAGTGCATATTTCTCCTATCAGATTCAGGGTGCGATCTCAAACCTTTCATATTCTCTTCAGGATTATTTTCTCGTTACGAAAAAATATTAATATACAATCTTGACATCTTCTGATTATGGGTTCTTGCGTATAAGGTGGAAACTGAGAAGGACACTAATAGTTGTTGCTAACGGATTAATGTAGAGGCAATTGAGCTCCCTTGTTTACTTCGTCCTGTGGATGTTTTTCCTTAAACGATTGTTAATTAATTATGTAAAAGTAGATCTTAGATAGCTTTTAAATTATCAGTTGCAGCTGTGAAGGAGATCGCTGATTGTATAGTTTCGCTGCTATATCTGCTTGCCTGATGGAAAAAAGACAATCTTGGGATTTTATGCTTCAAAATGGGGTTGATATTTGAGGAGTGCTTACTAAAACTAAGAACAAATGCTTTGGTACCTTTTTACATGGAAAATTGAGTAGATATTCCACCTAGAACTTCGAATTGGAGACACTTTTTTTTTTTAATTATATATATATATATATACATATATTTGGTTTGTTTTGCAAACACTCCTCTCCCTGTGGAAGTTTGAGGAAGAAATTATAATTATAGTCGGTAAATTCATCGGAAAGAATGATGAAGTAGGTGAATTATATGCCTTATTGTGAAATTTTAGGGAAGTGATGTTGGAAAAACAGCTCACGGGTCACCGGGTCGATCGCTCCATATGTGCATGGTTCTGGGACCAAGTACATACTCAAGGAGATTCTTTGAAGGTATCGAGTTTGTATTTATTTTTTTATTTTTTTTTGTATAAACTTTGCATGTTGCAACGCACTGCTCCATGCATTCCGTCTTTTTTATGTTTCTTATAGACCGTTTCTAAGAGTGAACCCTTTTTCTTTTTCTCTTGCATTGTCATAGAGCGTGCCTGTTATTGCTTCACCGACCCACTATCTGTTCCAAGTGATCCGTGAGGGAATAACGTTTTTGGCTTGCACCCAAGTTGAGATGCCACCTTTAATGGCTATTGAGGTGTGTGCCCTAAGCTGTGGTTCTCATTGACAATTCCAGTAATTTCTGTATGTGCTATCATGTAAATCTCTTTGCAGACTTGGATTTTTTTTCTTATTTTTTATTTTTCTGAGTCTGTTATCACTCTGAAATTAAATAGAGTGGCATGGTAACATTGTGAGTATCATTCTGAATAACTTTGGTGTTGTTTCTTAGCTTTTCAAGAATTTGCAAGGTGGCACTAGATTATACATATACAAATGTGGTCTTGTGCAGAAAGTCTTGTTAAACACTTGACGGTTTGATTTCTAGTTTCTTTGCAGGGTAGCTGATGTTCTTACAGATTATTTGGATGGCCTGAATGAGGATCTGATTAAGGATAATTTTGTTATCGTTTACGAGGTATCAATGATGTTTTGTTCGTTGTGAAGTCTGATGTTAGACTTTGGTTAATTACATGGTTAATTTCCTTTTACATACTATTTTATTCTTTCCTGAAGTAATTGTTCGGCTTGTCTTGTATCATTCTCATAAAATCTGTTATGAATCAATAACAGGGAGTATTCTTTTCATTAATTTAATATTGCTGAACTTAAACCCTCACTTTATGATGCATTGTTTTTTTTTTTTCTTCCATATCTACTAAAGGGAATTTAATACCTCAAGTGCTTATCGACATTATATCATAATTCTTTATGCAAATAATTTAATAACTAGGCAATTGGAGCATTGGCCTATAAAATAAAATAGACAGTTGATTTTCAGTTTCGAAATGAATTAGCCTGTGTTCATATCTTAACTGTGTATCATCGTGATATTTCAGTTGAATTCTTCTGAGCCATTTTGTAATTCTAACTCTAGAAGAATCTTATTTTAAATATGCAGTTGCTGGATGAGATGATAGACAATGGCTTCCCTCTAACAACGGAACCTAGTATATTAAGGGAAATGATAGCTCCTCCTAATATTGTTAGTAAGGTTTTGAGTGTTGTCACTGGTAATTCATCCAATGTGAGCAATACTCTTCCAGGTGCCACATCATCATGTGTTCCATGGAGAAAGACTGACCTTAAGCACTCAAGCAATGATGTTTATGTCGATCTTGTCGAAGAAATGGATGCTACTATAAACAGGTACACATATTTCTTTCACAAAGCTCTTAATTTCCACTATTTTCAGTAGATTAAAGAATTCAATTCCTTATAAATTAGAAGCAATCTTTCTAACCATAGTTAGAATCGGATTCACATGATTGAAAAATGCATTATGGTTTGAAACAAACAATAACAACTGCTGCTGGCAACCTGTAATTTTTTAAATTTTTTAATTCTGATAAATAAAATCATTTTCAACATATCAGTGATTAATTTTATAGTACTCTGATGCATTAGACGAGCAGCTTGTGTCATAGTACTATATACACGGTTTCTCTTCTGGAGCTACTAAATCATTTTAATTTTCTCTGATGCTTAGAAATGGGGCTCTGGTAAAATGCGAGATATGTGGTGAAGTTCAAGTAAATTCTCACCTATCAGGTCTACCCGATCTCACACTATCGTTCGCCAATCCTTCAGTTCTTAATGACGTGAGGTTTCACCCTTGTGTTCGACTTCGGCCTTGGGAGTCAAATCAGATCTTATCTTTTGTGCCGCCTGATGGGCAATTTAAGCTCATGAGTTACAGGTATTCTATTTTTCAGGGCAGAAAAAGATATTCATATTGTTTCTTGTTAACTCTTGCCCTTGTTTTGTTAGAGTGAAAAAGCTGAAGAATATTCCGATTTATGTGAAGCCGCAACTGACGTCCAACTCAGGGATTTGCCGTATAAGCGTATTGGTGGGAATACGAAATGATCCTGGAAAGTCAATTGACATTATAACAGTTCAATTCCAACTACCACCTTCTGTTGTGTCGTCTGATCTTTCTTCTAATTGTGGATCAGTAAATGTTCTTGCTGATAAGGTATGGACTTGTAAGCAAACATTTAGTTCGACTTGAGTCTTGCGTTAATATTTTCCATGAAGACTGTATAATGCTTTATTTGAAATTATTTGGGTACTAAAAATTCATGAAGGCCACCACTCTTGTGCATATTATTATCTATTCTTCTTTGCTCTTTATGCTCTTTATGATGGATTTTAGCTGATTTTTGGCAGACATGTTTGTGGACGATTGGGAAAATCCCAAAAGATAAAGCTCCTTCAATGTCTGGAACCTTTGTGCTTGAGAGTGGCATGGAGAAACTTCATGTATTTCCCACTTTTATAGTGGGTTTTAGAATTATGGGTGTGGCCCTATCCGGCTTAAAAATCGAAAAATTGGATATACTAAATTTGCCCACGCGTTCATATAAAGGCTTTCGAGCTCTCACCAGAGCTGGTGAATTTCAAGTGAGATCATGAGCTTTTGTGTTAAAGAAGGCGAACATGCATTGAGGACATAACTATTTTGTTTCGAGATTGGTGTTTTGCCTTGTTGATGTTGTGTATTTATCGTAGTGCGTTGGAACAGTACGTTTTGATGCGTTTGAATTTGTGCTTTCCTGCTGCATTTGAATTTGTTCTTTAACTCTCTTCTGTAACTGTGGACAAGAAGTAAATGTAATTATCGACCACAAATTCAACTCAATACGATTTTGTCTGGCCACTATAAAATATAACGCAAGCAAGGCTGCATAAGTCCATTGCAGGACCTAATTATTACAAGAAGGCTGCAGCAAACAAATAAAATACCTATGCCGAACTCTCTTAACTTCTGGTTTAGCACAACAATGTCAGATTCACCTGAGGACTCTGTTAGAACTCAAGATAAAATTTTCTTCACCAGCTACAGTCGAACTCAGCCTCCCAGCAGCCCATCCATTGTTCAGTACCCGAGCACTAGCAGCTGGGCTATGATCACCCGCTTCACGGCCCTTTATCTCTTTTCTCAATTTCCTCTCCTCGTCTCTCTCTTTCCTCAACCAACTCTCCACAGTTCTCTACAAATAGAAAAAAGGTTTTGACACTTGTGAATTCCCTTTACAGCATTAATATATTCTTTGATGAGCCAATTTAATATAGTAACTGACCATAAGTGACAAATTGCTTATCTCCTTGATTTTATTCATAGGCATTGCTAGTTGCAATTTCCCGCGAGCCACATAAACCTGACAAAAAAAAAATAAAAAAAATAAAAAAAATCAATGCATGTGATGACAAATAGTTGTAGCAATTTATGAGGTGTGCACTACAAAGTTTAAGAGTCGCACTCACAATATGAGATGGCCAATCCTCGATACCCCGCATCTCCACTTTTTTGCTTGCTTGCATTTTGTGTGTTTGTTTATTTATTTAGGTGCTTCAGTTTCGCTATATTTGTTCAGTCTAAATATGGGTTGATTTGCATGACTGTTTTTGTTTGTTTGTTTGTTTTTTTTTTTTTCTTTAAAGTTTTAGTCTCTATGTTTAGTTGGCTAATTTTAATGCTAAGTTGGCGGGGTTAGTTAAAGCTTAAGCGGGTGTGTGGGAGTGTGACAGTGTGATTATGTGAGCATTTCTAAATTCGGTCCTACTTACTAATAATTATTCCAATACTTACTAAAAAAATAATTCCAAAATTTTTATATTTGTGCAACTTTTTTTTTTTTTTTTTTTTTTTGGCTTATTTGCTGCTTTAATAATAAATGGTGCCATGAACGAGTGATGAAATGATAAGCATTTTGTTAAATTTTGTGATTAGACATTTGTTCTTTTCTGGAAAATATAAGAATTTATATAATCTCAAATGAAAGGTACGACCCCATGACAAAAAAAATAAAAAAAAATAAAAAAAAATAAGTAGATCTAATAAAAATTAATCACCCATACAAATATATTCCCCGATGCATTTTCACCTTACTAGAGATATTACCACGATTGCTTTTAAATATAGTTTAAGTCTTGAGAAGAATTTTAGATGCACGAAGAACCACCATGCCTAAGGCCATCTCCAACCGAATACTCCATACTCAAACCCATTTTGCAGTATCTATCTCATTTTGCAGTAATTCATCTCCAACCGAAAAACCCATTCTCCAACCCAAAAGAATATTCTCTCTACATCAACTTTTACAACTTTTCAATACTACCCACATATTTTACAACTTTACAAATTAAACCACACTATTATTTTCAATTCAATTTGGACTTTATGTAATAAACTAATTATAAAGTAATAATCATATATATAATAAAATCAGAGAAATAAATAGTCATTAAAAATTAAATTTAAAAATTACAACACACAAAATAATATTAAAAATTACAACGCACAAAATGATAAATTAAAAATTACAACACACAAGATAAAATTAAAAATTACAACGCACAAGATGAGAAATTAAAACATCAATTGGAAAACAAAAGAAAGGTAAATGATGATTCATCGTCGCTTATCAATGCTATGAAGGAAGAAAACAAAAGACTTGTTGAGGAGATGAAAAATACAAACGATCAAATAAAACATCAATTGGAAATACGCGACAGATCTCACGCTTTAAAAGAAATGAGGGAAGAAAATAGAATTCTGCTTCAAGATGTCAGTTCCATAGCAGATCCTAGAGTTCGAGCATACGTTGAAGCTGAAAAAGCACGAATCTTGGAGAAAAGAGCTCAACAAGCCCAATCCGATCCATTTCCAACCAATACATTTGGCCAATTTTTCAATGATCTTGGAGGAAGCGGTGCCAACTTACCAGATTACTAAATTCTCGTACTTGTTTTTTAGTTTGTGGCTTTATGATGTATTTTTATTTTAGTACTGTGTGATGTTGTATTTCATTTCAGCACTTGTTATTTAAATGGTTTTCTTTAAATCGTAATGTATCACGTTTTAATGTTATTTTAATCTGTATTAGTAATTTTGTTGTTATTTAATGTTAGTGTTTTCTTTTCTTGATAAATAAAAATACCATAAATGATATGTATATTTTATATTATTATTGTGAATTAAATAATAAATATAATATTTATTATTTTAAAAATTATACTATTTAATTGTTATGAGATAAAGAATTTTAGTATTTTACATAAAGTTTATTATTTTGATAAATATATAATTAATATTCATTAATTTAATAATCATAGGATTGAAATGCAAAAACAAAAAGAAGAAAATAAGATTAACATAAAAAGAAGGACTAAAATGCAAAAAAAAAAAGATAGAACGCATAATTTGCGTTCCGACGCAAATTTGCGTCTTGGAGGAGGAGAGAGAAGGCAAAAACGCAAATTGCCGCTGCGTTTGCCGTTCGGTTGGAGGAGATTTCACTGCAAAAATTGAGTTTTGGCGTTCGGTTGGAGAAGGTCTAAAAAAAAATGTTGTAGTGAAATTACTTAAAAATAGTTTTTCCGAGCATTTTTACGGCAAAATCATCATTTATATTTTCATAATCATGATTTTAAATCTTATCTCGATCTCGATAAATATACTCAAATGCTTGAGGTCGTCTCGAATTTTCAAGTAAAAATAACTAATTAAAATAAGTTGTTTCTTTCTTACAAGAAATTGGCACGGATTTATCTCAAACTTAGCTCAAATATGAATAATACTAATAATCAAGTAAGTGACACTTATACTCGAGCAATTTGTCGAGCTTTCGAACTTCTAAAATATTGACTCGAGCTCGAACTAGAGTCGAATTCAGAGCATCTGAATTCAAGATGCTCGAGCTCAATCAAACTCGAGCTCTGATCGAACTTTAGCATTTGCTCGATTCGTTTGCTGCCCAAAGTTGCACTACAAATGACATGCAAAAGTGTATCTCCTAATGCTTATTTGGTAATTATGAAACCATACAATATGTGAAGAGTTTGGGGCATTTTTATTCAATATTAGTTCTTTTAAGCCCACCTACGAACCCATAAATGCTTGGGCTTATAAAACGTCATTATTGCCAGTGCATTTTGGGCCGTCCTTTTTATTTTGCTTATCATGATTGATCTGTTTCGGAATGGGCTTTGTCCTAGGCCTCGTATTTAACTTACCCTTCTCTTTCCAAATACATGAGCAATGATCTATATTCTATATACAACTCAAAAAACAAAACATAAATATTTTATTTCATTTCTATAAACATACGTTTTGAGCCTTTTGATACGAGGCCGAGTTATTTGTTGACTCTGCAGCGTAGAAAAAAACTGTGTATTTAATCCGCAAGGAACGAAAAAAAGCTGCCAAAACAATTCCAAATGTGCAACCATATCCAATTTGGGGTCCAAAAATAACCAAGAATATAAAATGTTCAGATTCTGATTCTTTTAATTATTTTTCATATTCCTTTCCGGAGGGAAAAAAAAAATGTATCCGAAATCTCTCTGTCTTATCTTCATATAATGTTTTACACAATTACAATTAACTAAACATATATTCCTATCCCATCATCATTAAAACCTCACTAATATAAATAAGTAAATAACAATAGTTCAGATCGAGCCGAATAGTTCAGTACTAAAATTTCTCTCTTTTATTCACTAATATTCTCTTGCCCATTAGATAAGATGAGACAATGAGGCCAATTACCCTTTCTATTTTATTTATTCTTTTGTTTTTTTCTTTTCAAATGTAATTTCATGAGCCATAGAATGTGAATAACATTTCTTCCTTCCAATCTTGTCCAGAATTGATGACAAGTTATCATCATCAACATGGAAGTTTCTTACCCTTTCTAGAGAACTATATATATATATATATCCATTTTCGGACCATTTGAGAGGAGACAATGAGCATAAATTTGAATAAATTTTGTGTCTTTTATTTAAGCTTTGTGGAGGATGTTCTAACATTTTTAGTGGGAAAATTGACTTTACTATAAACGAATTGTGTGTATCCTCATCAGCCCATGTTTGCTCAAGGATGAGAGGTTAAGTGTACACCATTATCTAGGCCTTGTAATCTTCTAGTTGGTTCCTTATGAGTTGTGATAAAATGAAATACAATATGATGATTTGGAAGATGGTTATTGCCAAAGCATAAATCTTTTATGCCATTGGATCTTTTGCTAAGAATCCAAGATCATCATCATTGATTGGATTTGAATTTGAGGTTAGTTTCTAAAAGTTGCACCCCTTCTTTATTCACTTAGATTATAAACAATATAAAATAGATTATAGCTTATTTGGTTAGCTTACAGAGTGCATTTAGTAAGCACTATAAACTAACTTATAGTTTATTTTGTTAACTTATAAACTTTCTGTATTCATATAAACTTGGTTTGGTAGGACAGACTTGTTAAAAAACTCGAATTTTTTTCATAATTTTTTTTGGGTAGCTTTTCAAATAAACTCGTTGAAATATTTATTTCAACTAGTTTATCAGCTACTTATATCAACGCTTTTATCATATAAGCTAATTTTTTAGCTGTAAGTCATAAGCTATCAGTTATAAGTTTGAAATTCATTTATTTTATCAGCTAACTTATAAGCTATCAGTCATGTTTAACATAGTCATAATCTTCCTGTATTCAAATAAGTTTGGTTGGTAGAATGAGTTTTTGAAAATGTTCATGCTTATCTCATAAGCTTCTATGGGTAGCTTTTCAAACAAAACCCGTTGAAATTTTTATTTCAATTAGATTATCAACTAATTAATTTTACTAAACACTTTTATCATATCAGCTAGCTTTTCAGCGGTAAGCCATAAGCTCGAAATTCACTTATAAGCTATCACCTAATTTATTAACTAACAGATAGTTTATCAGCTTAGTTTACCAAGTATAGCCTTAATTGTCTTTCCCTTTGTCCATTTAAAAATATTGTTGTTACTCAACCATATTTTTTTAACATGTATGGATACATTTACAGTGTAATATCGTATTTTAAAGAAAAATGAACAAAAAATGTGGAATTTTAAGTATGGGTATATATATTGTTTGAGAACATATCTAATTGCTAGGATTCTCACTACATTATTTGTGATGAAATATAACACCTAAGCTAATTAGTATAACTTGAGTGAAAAATATATAAATCTTTTTCCTCCTCCTCTCTTCTTCTATTGGTAATTTTTTTATTCAATTCTTTATTTCTTTTATTCTCATCAGTAAAAAATCCTTAAGAAATAAATAGTGATTGAGCCGTCTTCAATTGAGATTGGAGAAACATATAATTCTTCCACTGCATAAGGAATTAAAACTCTTACCTAACTACAAGGATACTTTTAGGGCATAAAAGATAGGTTTTGTGAGAATTAGCAAAATAAATGGTTAGAATTATCCTTATATACAAGTAAAATTTAAATAAAACGAAATAATCTAAATCATATTAATTCCAAGGACATGCCTAAATGTGTATAG